AGGTTCCTGGCATTGGCTTGGCCCAGCTCTGGCTGTGGTATAGTGGGTAAGAACGCCATATGGGATGCCCACAACCATGTGGGCGCCAGTTGGAGACCTGGCTGCTCCACTTCTGATCCAGCTGCCTGCTAATGTACCTGGGAAAGCAGTGGAAGACGGCCCAAGTGCTTGGGCCACTGCACCCATGTGGGAGATCCAGAAGAAGCTCCAGACTCCTAGCTGTGGCCTGGCCCAGCCCAGTCATTGCAGCCACTTGGGGAGTGAACCAGTGGATGGAGGATCTCTCTCTGTGTAACTCTGCCTTTCAAATAAATAAATAAATCTTTAAAAAAAAATCAAAAAAGCACAATCCAAAATAAAGGAAAAAAAGTACTACCAAGAGAATAAAAACATTTGAAAATCACTTATTTGATAAAGGATTTCTAGAGTATACATCCCACTCCAATTCAATAAAAAGAAAATAGCCTTATTACAAATTTGGTAAAAGAGTTGAATAGATAATTCACCAAAGAGAATAAACAGCTGGCAAATAAGCACATGAAAAGATGCTCAACATTATTTGCCATGAGAGAAATGTAAATTAAAACCACCACATGGCCGGCGCCGCGGCTCACTAGGCTAATCCTCTGCCTTGCAGCGCTGGCACACTGAGTTCTAGTCACGGTCGGGGCGCCGGATTCTGTCCCGGTTGCCCCTCTTCCAGGCCAGCTCTCTGCTGTGGCCCTGGAGTGCAGTGGAGGATGACCCAAGTACTTGGGCCCTGCACCCCATGGGAGACCAGGATAAGTACCTGGCTCCTGCCATCGGATCAGCGCCGTGCGCCGGCCGCAGCGCACTGGCCGCTGCGGCCATTGGAGGGTGAACCAACGGCAAAGGAAGACCTTTCTCTCTGTCTCTCTCTCTCTCACTGTCCACTCTGCCTGTCAAAAAAAAAAAAAACACATAAAAACCAAATTGTAGTAGGCCACCCTGAATTAATAAAAGAGCAAGAACACTGGAAAATGTGGATAGGGCCAGTGAATATGGCTCAAGAGAACTGAGGGATCTTTGTGATTTGGACTAACCTCAGCCTGGTACCTTCTCTCTGCTTATAAGGGAATTCAGGGTAGAAGTAGTTTTAGTTTGGAATAAGTGATCTCTGTATCTTCATAGGTGACAGTAAGTCAGTGTCTTACAGAAAGGGTAGCTCATTCTCATAGTCTGAAGAAACCTACCTGGATTGCTAGTCAGAAGCTCTGCTTGCTTCTGTTTCAAATCTCATTCCCTCACAGTTCAGTTTCTTAACCTAGTCTGCTGATGCTTTGATGGCCTGGCTCTCCTATGGGCTGAGTCATATATGGGGTAGGTGGAGTGAGAAGACAAAATTCACACCTGCTTAGCAAGCTCTTCAGCGGACACTTTGGAACCTGGCAGAACCCAGAGGAATCATCCTAACTGACATCATTTAGACTCAAACTCTTGTCCTATCTTGTCATTCCTTTAATGGACCAAAAAGTGGGAGTACAGAAGAGGCTGACACTGACCAAGAAGCAGGGGACTTGATTAGACTTTATATGTGTGCCAGCATACCTAATCCTAGGAAGCAGAATGAGGAGTGTAAATTCAAGTCTGTCCTTTGATAGAGAGTCCCTAGGGAAGATATTCATGGTCTGCTATTCCTACTTAAAGTGGCCTCCAGAAAGATAAAGATACTGAAAAGAAGCCACTTCACTTGAGAAGTTTCTGTACACACGCACTTTATGCCCTCTTTATGGTAACATTTAAAACCTTTCAAAGTGTAGTTTAGTACCAAGTTTCTATCTAGCATGGAATTCTGGTTCTAGGGGGGAGGGAGTCACTCTTGGAAGCGCTGAGCCTAGAATCTTCTGGGGACGAGGGTAGCACTAGAGATACTCATTATTTTCTACCTTATAGATTTCTAAGGAGGAATGAAGTCAGAGCCATGACTCACTGTAATGTAACCCTGGTGAGGTGAAGAAACGGATTCCCAAAATATACTGATTCTTGGCAGAGCAGTTTCTAAATTATTATCCTTGGGAAAAAGGAAGGGCACTTACAAAGAAAATGAGAGCCTCTAGCTTGATAAGAGAT